GGGGGGGGCGTAACCTTTATCCAAAACAAACTAAGAGATGTTTAAATGTACAAGTCAGTAGGTTCACATCCTCCGCTGTGTGTGTTTTTTTCTGCGAGTCTGATAAACACTTTGTCTGTGTGTTCACTGTTTTACTTCAGAGCATTGTTAGACCAGTCTGGGGGAACAAAGCCGTGTTGTTCTCCTCGTTTCTAAACCTACACTCTCTTCACTCAGTTTGTTTCTGTAAAACACTGAAGACTGTCAGCTTGAGGGCGGTGAGTTAAGTCGGTTTAAAAGGCTTATTTGCTTTCTTTTCAAACGCCACATGAGGAGATTGACATTTATCTCATGACGGTGTTCTAATTACGAATCAGGACTAGATTAGACTAGTTTAGCATAAAGACTGGAAGCTGGGGGAAACAGCTAGCCTGTTGTCCTAATCAACACGTTGTTTCTCTTCTGTAAATTTCTATTTGTCGACTGACACTGATTGATATCACATATCAGTCACTGCAGATGAACTCTTCACACACCGACATGCAAGACAGAAAATAAACTCAATTCACCAGCCACCACTTCATCCAAATCGACTTCATTCAAACAAATTCGTTGTTTCTCAAGAACACGGAGTGACTGGTGAAACGTTTAGAAATAAACATCTTCTCACCCTGTTCACATGTGTGACCTGCTGCCACGTGAAATGTGACACATGTGAAAGCTCAGTGTGGTTTATTCGCTCACAGCAGACAGACACACAGGGAAACGGTCAGTTCACTGGACGACTGAGGACAGTTCACTCTGAGAGGTGGGACAGCGTCTACATCCAGCGGTCTGGTGCTACCATTACCTTGATGGACATATGCCACTCATACTCCCGGCATGCAAGCTGGGCCTCAAACCTGGCCTTCTCTAGAATCATCTGTCTCTTCTTCTGGAACTCATAGCCACCTTCCTCCTCCATGTGCTGCTACAGAACGCATCAAACGTTTAGGCTTTAAATTACCTTAAATAGTTCCTACTTTACTTACATACTTATAGGCTTAAATTTACAGGGACAAAGACACAAAACGACGTGCTTGATCTCAATAACGTGAGTAAACTTATCAAGGAAAATGTATTATAGTGACTAAATTTAAAGCCACTATGCGCAGCATTTCAAAATGTCCAACTTTGGCGTCCCACAGTGGAAGCATAAAAAAAGACACAAACAGAGAGCGCTGACCGCTTTTCTTTGGACTCTACTAAATCGTGACGGACATTTGTAATTCTATATATATATATATATAGATTAATATTTCTCTGAAATTCTTGTGCATTCGACAATAAATAACTTGACACTTGAAAGACTTGAAGCTAATGTTCAAAGTATCGATGTGCCATTTTCTGCTACAATCTGTACTCATGCAAACACGATAAACTCCTCAAAAAGATTTGCAAATATTTATCTCAACCAAGCTGGATAAAAACATTTGTCATATCATCAAAGACAGAACTTAGCAGTACTTTACTGTCATGTCAGGTCATTACAGGGGCTTAAGTAAATCACCAGGGCTTTGTGATCTTACGTCCTTGCGATTGTTTTTCTGTAAATTGTTGAACTAGAAACTTTAGTTTTTAAAACAAACTCATGGCCGAAGTTAGTTACTCGCTGTCACATTGCAGTAAGGTTTCAAATATCATCATGTATGCTGATGACAACATGTTTTGTGCCGTGTCTCGACTGAAAGTTAAGGAGAGTTTTAAAGTTCTGCACACCGTACCTTCGGTGTGGTGATGCCGTCATCGCTGTCCTGCCCACTGGGGGAGGGGGGGGGGGGGGGGGGGGGGGGGGGGGGTTAACACGTGGTTGGTTTCACTAGTAGCTACTGTCAGCAATGTTGCTGTGATTACATCAGTTTAACACACCTCAAACACTGAAACGTGGTCAAACTGTTGACCAGAACTACCTTTCAGGTGTCCTGATACCAAATAAATAATAAATAATCTAACACACAGTCTTACTTGAGTGACTCTTCCACTGTGACCATCTCCACCGGGTAGAGCTGAACTCCAGACAGATCGTCCTGCTCTGTGTTCACTCTGATAAAACAGAAGAAATACATTATTAAATAAATGAATGTGATTTAGAAATACTTATACACTTTACACTGTGTTTTCCTTTTAGTACTACGTTCTAGTGTTATTCAAACTGCTAAATGAGACATGGAAACATAAAAGGCAGCCAACCGTATTAATTCTCAGCAAAGTAAAGTGTGGAACCAGGCACAGTTTCGGTATCATTACGGCTAACCAGCTCCGTGATGTTGTGATTCTCAGGCGTTGTGTCGGCTCTCACCTGCTGGGGTCCTGCAGCAGCTCCACAGCCTCCTTCAGCTGGTTGATCATGTCAATGTGGAGCTCTGTGCCCCCTTTTACCTTTGACCTGTGACCCAAAACACAAGTAATATCTTACAATCACAGTTACAAGTCAGTCTGCCTGAATATCCTATATGAACTCAATAGAATATAAAATAAACAACATACAGATACCAGTTTAACTTGCCTTCAATGCTGAAGCTGTATTATTTGTTTCTCTTTACATTAATGTATTGTTCCATTGTTATGTTGTACTCAACAATAATTAGAAAAGCCCTCGATCACACAGAAGGAACCGAAGGTTAGCATAAGAAAAACAAATAGATGAACTTACATTTGTTGTGTTGGCCAGTGCGAGTCTTCCTCTATCCGGAGGGGCTCGTCGAAGTCTGCTGCTGTCCGACCCTACACACACACACACACACACACACACACACACACACACACACACACATCTACATCAGCACCAGCTGCAGCTGTCACATGGTCCACAGACTCATTCAGCCATTGGCCAAAAATTCAGAGACATTACCGTTATCCCCTGGTACACAAACTCAACAACCTCTTCCTCTCTTTAATCAGTTCCTTCCATCCTCCAGTCTCCACTTGTTTCTTATAGTGGGACGGATGGGTTAACTGGGATAAAGCTGGACCACTATTTGTTATCACTTAGTTATTAGCCAAGTCTTATTTCTGCAGTTTTGTCAACAGTCACAGGACATGGGTTTAGAAACACAAGCAGTCAGCTGATGGGACAGGTTTGAAACATTCATCCAGATTATATAAACTACTTTATCTGGAGGTCAAAAGGAAACTGAGTGCACACAACTACAGTAATTACACTAGATTAAACATTAAAGCAGTAAGTGGGTGCATGAACTGTGATGGAAGTCTGCGACAGACCAACGTCTCAGATCGTGTGACTAATCGTGTTTCTTGACTCATCAGATGTATTGTATATATGATGATATCAGCTGAATAACTCACTCGATGACAGTCCGTTTTTAATACTTGGAAGTACTGAAGCGTTTCAACAAGTCCTCCAAATTCAACGACAACATAATTGGTTTGTCCATGCCCCTCTTGAACGGCACACGGATGCCAACTATTAGCTGAACTGCATCGTATCTGTTTTCTGACTGATCACAGCGATGGTTTAAGTTCGGTTTTGGCACGAAGACGACGCTTTAGCTTTAGCGACGTCGTCATAGTTAAACTACTGACCACTTTATAAGCATAAAGTTACTGAACTTCAACACTTGGCTAACCTGAATGATTCATCGCAGGGCTGCACAGCTCTTTGTGTTGTCCACTTTGTTTTAAGTTTAGACCTTATTTGGTCACAGCCGAGTCTCCACAGTGACTCACAGGCTCAGTGTGACGTAACCTGCTATAACAGGACAGTCTCTCTAACTGTCGGGCTGGCAGCGACTTTTAACTCTACAAGTAAATGACTGACATAAAGTGACAGTTTAGGCTCCATTAGAACAAAGCACAGACTTCAGGAGCAGTCGAAGTAGAGCAGTTTTATATAACTCCACTTCACTCTGAGTGTGTCGTTACTCATGAAGAGAACCACTCGCTGCATCAATCTTTAATAACAAACTGAGTGAGGAGAAACAGCACAACATGAGATCTTGCCTTGATGTAGTTGACGAAGCGAGTGCTGAGAGCAGAGTCTCTGTAGCTGAACTGGTCCTTCAGGGCTTCCGTAGGGCTCTCCTCAATCAGACGGACTGAGTCGGAGTTTGGGTCTGCTGGAATAAAGGAAACATCAGCTGTGAGAGCCCTGAACAAACGCGGCGGAGTGGTAGGGTTTGGACTCTACAGTAAAATGGCGGACAGTAAATATAGTGCCTTATGTAGTACATAACAGTTTCTGCTAAATAAAAACTTGCTACAGTTTGAATATTTTTGGTGAAACATTGACAAGCTTTATCTGCACTGTTAAGAGTTTGCAAATAACCCAGACAACTCGTCTATTCCCTCATCTCAGTTCAGTAAAGTTGGCCTTCCATCAGCTCTGACCTGATTGAAGGCTGATTGAAGTCTATTTAAACTGTTACCTGGGGAGCTGCTGCTGTTCTCTAATAGACTTCAACAGCCCAGATACTCACACACACTCTGCACGTTGAAGCGCTAACAGCTTATGGTTGTTAGAGGACGAAAAGCTACATCAGCTGACGGAAAATAATCAACAAAATAATTGATGATCAGTTTATTAAGTCAGTCAAGAACAATGTCATTCGTCAAACAAAAGGGCAAACACATTCTCTCTGTTTCCATTTGCTGGTTTTGTGTTTTTCACTGTAAGTAAAATGGAACTTTGCCGGTCAAAGGTGTGTGTGTGTGTGTGTGTGTGTGTGTGTGTGTGTGTGTGTGTGTACCTGTCAGGGAGCTGATGTGTTCACTCGAGTCGTCTTTACTGATTCCCTCCTCCTCTGTGATGTGGCTCATCGGTATGTTGAGACTCAGACTGTCTTCATCTGACGGCTGCAACACAAATGAAAGAACAACAGAAATAATCGATGAATAGTTTTAAGATATTTCAATCATTCTCTGGTTCCTGCATCTATAATGTGATAATGTTGTGAACTGAATGTTTGGGGTTTCGGACTGTTAGTCGGAAAAAAGGAGAGATTTTAAGATATTTCCTTAGTCCGTGGGGAAACTATGACATTTATGCATTTATCTACATTTTTTTTTTTTTTTACATTTTATAGGATCAATGTATTATTGTCAGATCCATCAATGATAAAACTAATCGTTGCATTTCCAATCAACCTTCTAGCAAAACAGTTACTGATACAAATGAGTGAAAAAACCTGCAGATCACCTGAACACCACGCCCGTTAAACTGTTTATTTATCAGATGATTTCTCTGCAGCCATTTAAAAATAAAGACTAATGCACGAGGCAACCGATGCTTTCAGATCTTCTGTTTGTTCTTAGTTGTTGGTGTATTACAAAGAAAAATGGGCTTTTCTGCTGCATTTTTTTCTGCAGCTCCAGTTGCATTTTATTCAAGAGATAAGAAATATGATTTTACTCCGTAAAACATCTGGTTCAAAATGTTACTTTTAATAGAAACAATGTGGTTAATAGTCTATTTACAGGATGTTGATTTAAATGACAGAACGTTTTGTGAAAGTTTGTTGATGATAAAATTTAGCAGGTTTAACAAATACCGTCAGTACAGAAGTCTATAGAAGGATTAAAGAATAAATCAAAAAGGTACAGCGTTATAACAGTGACCTGTAAAATAATTAAGCTTTCATGTCAATGCGCTGACAGGTGGAGTCTTCTGTGTAAAGAAATGATGTAATACATATGCCAGAACACAAACCGATTAAAAGCATATAGACACCATCACACATAAGGTACAGAGACACACACACACACACACACACACACACACACACACTCTCAGTACCTCAGTAGCAGACAGCCTCTTGTCTCCGTTGTCGCTGCCGACTCCTGAGTCGCTATCCTGCTTCTTCTGCTGCTCCATGTCCTCCACACTGCAGACACACAACACAGGTCACACACCTGACACAGATACGCAAATGAGGTGTGTGTGTGAGAGGGGGGGATGAAGAGCATGTGAGGTAAAGTGAAACAGAGAGAGAGAGAGAGAGAGAGAGAGAGAGAGAGACAGAGAGAAAGCACAGTCTCTCTTCCTTCCCCCCCCCCCCTCTCTCAGGCTTTGTTCACACTGTTTCTGACTTCCTGCTCAGATTGGATTTGTTTTACTGCCGACTGCTCACATCATGTTTCTCAGTGCGACTAAAGAAGAACATGGACAAAAAAAAGAAGAAGAGAAACACGGTGTGTTTCCAAGTGATTTGTTTAAGATGCAAACAGGAAATCTATTTAAATAAATAAATGAAACATACATTTATGAATTAATTAAAATAAACCTTGTGAATCCGAGTGTAAAAGGTTTACAGTGTGCTTTATTAAATGCTGATACTTTAGGTCATTAACACTTATACAATTATATTGTTTATGTCGCTCGCATCGACTAGATAAGAATTGGAAAAAATGATTTAATTTCTCTTCACGATGAATTAAAAAAAAATAAAATCTGAGACTTTCAGCTGCTGTGTGAACACAGCTCCCGTGGCAGTGTCTAAGCAACTGAGTAGTAATGTGTGCTGTAATTGCACATGCATGCACACACAGACACACACAGGCACACACGTAATAAATGAACCACCTGTGAACAACATCCACCCTCCTCTCGTCTACTGGCTCATTTGAACGGATTCAATTAATTTCTACGTGATCTACAGACACAGAGATGTTTCATAATAAACATAACTGGTCACAATAAGGCTCGCAAGTCCCTCTGTGACCTCTGACCTGATCGTCATGCTAGTTAAAAACACAAAACTGATTGTACATTGATGATCTTTGTTTAAATGCCAAAACATTCAGATATAATGAGAGAGAGAGACACGCTCTTCCTTCATCCTGGTCGACTGCAAACTGAGATTCACAGAGTTTCACCGTCTCTGAATTAATGAAGTTTTAAAAATAGCATCAATCTGTTCTCAGCTTCCTCTGTAGTATAATGAGAGAAAGAGAGAAACTACGTCTTACTCAACTATATTATTATTAGTCTTCGATGTGGTCAAAAAAAAACCACTCGCTTGGCATCACATTTCAAAAGTCACAGAAAGTCTACTGAGGGCAACTGACCACACTTAACCAAAGTCAAACAGAAAGATGGAGAATTTAAAGAAATTCAACATGAATCAAAACAGAAAGAAATAGAGCAAGACAACTATAACGGGAAGAAGATAAATATTAAAAGGAAGAAGAATAAAGACAGCAAGAAAAATAGAAGGGCAAGTAGGGATAAATAAGCAAAAAGCAAGAAAATAAATAAAGGAAGAGGAGAGAGGAAATAAAAAGAACACATCCTGAAACCACAGAAAAAGACTGAATAATGGAGACAGAGAGAGAGAGAGGAGAAAGACAGAAAATAAAAGCAAAAAGGATGTGTATATGGAGAGTGTGCGTGCGTGCGTGCGTGCGTGCTCGCTCTCCTAGAGAATAGCAACCATTTTTCCTGCCCACGTGTTGGGAGTGTTCTGTGTGGGCGGACATTACAGAGCTCAACATCCTCTGAGAGCTCAGGCTCAGTTTCAGCTGGATAATGCTTCTTTTCTTTCTGTGCTCCATTTGGTTCAACTCATGCATTATTTCTTCCTCTCTTCTGTCATCTATGAAAAGGCCTATTTCCTCCTTCCTTCATTCCTTCTTTCCCTCAATCTTACAATCCTTTACTTCCCCGTTAACCCCACCTCCGTCAACCGGCCTGCGTCAGTCTTTTTATGATGTTCTTGTGGACTCCAAATGCCTAAGGAGCTCTTGCTTAGATGATAATATTACAGACAATATCCCAACTGTTGTGCTTCTACATTTTTCTGTAAAGCCACTTTCCCCCGGCTCTTACTTTGCTCAATCAGCTGGATTCACTTCATTACTCGGTTCCTAATGCTGACTTTGTTCCTTTTGTTTGTTTTATTCCTTCATTTCCTTCTCATTCCCTCCACATTTTCTGTCTTCCTTTATTCCTCCATCCAGCAATCAGAAATAATACATCATCCACCAGTGTGATTAAGACCTAAATCTCTGATGGCAGACAGTCTGTCAGTGCGACCCAGCAGGGAGTCAGAGGACGGATCACTTTCAGCTGACTAATAGAGGATTTGGCTCCAGCCGGAGAAACTGAGGACACTTGGATCAGAGGCACTCAGCATCCCTCCACATAGTGTACTGTCATTAAAACCAAACTAAATAAACAGCTTTGATATGATGAAACATATCAGAAGAACTGACGGCGTTTAACACAGAATTGGCAAACGTTTGGAGCAAAGATGGTCAATTTATGACCATGTCACCACTGTGACACATAGTCATGCAACCTGGGAATTGTTGATGACTTGAAGAGACACTTTTGATGCTTTGGGAAGTAAGTTTCTCTGCTTTCTTACTGATACACCACTCGCGTCATGTTAGCTTAGCATAAAGATTGGAAACAGAGGGAAACAGCTAGCCTGGTTTGTCTAAATCCACCTACCAGCACCTCTAATGTTCACAAATGAACATGTTATATTGTATTTGTTAGTCTGACACTAAGTCACTTTACATCGTCTATGCAGACAATGAACTGGATCTCTACTTGTTGAACTCTGAACGCCACAAAATAGATCGTTTCAGCTTTTAGATAATGTACGTGAAGTAAACATTTGTTTTGAAGGATTTGCTTCATCAACACTGTGTGAAAGTCACAGCAATCATCTCGGTGTGTGTTTACTCTGCAGCTGCTCTTTTTGACCGTGAACATTTTTGAATGGAGCTCTTGTTTCATTAGCTTGAGGGCTCAAAGCCTGATGAGGCAATTAGTCTTATGTGTGCTATAACTGACTTCCACAGGGCTCCCATTAAATTTTAATGGTTGAGCAATTGATACACAAAAAAAAAAAAAAACAAGAGAAGGAACCACCGCAGCACTGATGCGGGAGAGAGGGAGGAGACGGTGCCTTCCCATTTGGGGATATTGAAGTTGCCGCAGTAACTGACCTGCCGGTGGTGGGCCGTGATAGGCTGAGTCGCTCTATGACAGGCAGGTACAGAGAGTCGGGCATCTTCTCACTGCGACACGCCTCGATGCTCAGATACTTGAATATGTGAACTTTTCCTTTTATACAGATCTGAAAAGGAAAAGAAAGATTAAACTTATTTCCTCTTCTTCTACAGTCTCAACTTGTTCTCACTCAGACATCAACCTAACCGCTGAGTCACTGAACTCTGGGAGCAGCCGATGTTTAACATTCACAGAGTGTCTTTTGTCTCTGAGACGATGCAGGCTGGTGCACACAGTTTCATATCAGCTCTCTATAAAGCTGTGATGCAGTGCATGATTAATCGGTGCTGCAGATTACCTGCTAAACAAATCATACGTTTTCATGCGATTCCCATCCCACGGGTGCATGCATGACATGGTTAATATCAAGTTTTACAATTACAACTATATTTCTCATATCGATGTATTAATAACAGTGTTCACAGGTGCACTAATATCCCGGTTATGTGTTGCACATGTAAACATCACTTCCTTGTTTTTGAAAACTGGATAAGCTACCCGGAGTACTCGGATAGAAACCGGAATACTGTGGCATTAAAACACCTGAGTCATGTTTCTGACGATTCTCTGTCAGTACAAAACATCGTGACCGAGATGGTGATAGATCAAGAGACAACTGCAGGCAGACGATCAGGAACCAGAATGCTGTTATGATCACGTTTACAGAGAGTTGAATAACCGGATTTCTCATGTTTCATGTAAACATCGTATAAGATCAAAAGCAGGATAAGACTCAAAACCGGGATAGTAATAGTAGCGCACGCAAACACACTCAATATGACGAATGTGTGCCAGATCCCACATAAGAACAATGAAAAGGGTTCCACGAGTGTTACATCAGACATACAATAAGTTTCCAGTGAGAAGACGTGACAGCTGACACTCGTTTCTATTGACATTATTCATTTCAGCAACAAGGAAGCGCTCGGTTATTTTGCCTCTTAACTTCCCGGCTACACCAGTTGTTGTGTAGATAGACGTCTGCTGCTGGTGATCTCTATCTGCATTTCATCAAATATCAGTATTATAATCTAATGTACATCTGAAGGTCTGACAGAGCTGGAGGAATCTCTTCTGACAAACATCCACTGAATATATGATCATTCTGTCATCATGTGTTTATAACAACATGATTTCATAACACAAGTTGTCAATATGTAATAAAAAAATAATGTGACTTAATTCATTATTTGCATCATCAGCATCAGAGTTTTCCACCATAGAAACATTGAGCTGCTGCTGCACCACACAGTGAGCTCGTGAGTTGATGCTCTTTTATATCCGACATCTGTGGTGGGTGTGGCCATGTAAGGTCACATGACCTCCTCATACATTTGGACGTGTGTTTCCACGTTTTTAGAAATATATGGAAGGCTGAGTGAATCAACAGCAACAAGAATCTGAGAAACAAAACAGGGAAATGGAACAAACATGTGTGTGTGTGTGTGTGTGTGTGTGTGTGTCTACCTGTGCAGGTGGACTTTGAAGGGGGTTGTTTTCTAACTGGAGGCACTGGAGCTGTTTCATCTTCCTGTAACACACCGGGATGGTCGACACCTTGTTACAGGAGAAGTCAAACTTCACCAGAGGAAGGGCAGCCAAGTCTGCAGGAAGAACACACACACACACACACACACACACACACATATACATCAGTTAGGTAAACACCTTCGTCTCCTTTATGTGAGCTCTTAGATTAGATTTACTTCAGATTCAATTCTGACACAGTTTTTGAGGTAATTCACAGTGTTGTACTCAGTTATATTCGGGAATCTGGTATCACAAAGCTTGAGGAACGAAGCTGGACACACTGTACAGATTGTGGGTCCAGTGCGTCAATTCATGGTGAGGATTCTACCATGTAAGTCATAGCAGTTGAGTACAAGAATCTTATTCTTACTTACTTTAAAACAGTCAGGGAGTCAGAATTAATGAAACATATACAAGAAGCTATGTTTAGTAAGAGTTACAATCCTGTTACACACACACACACACACACACACACACACGTCTCAGACCGCAGACATGTTTCCCCTCACACAGAACAATGCAGCTGTTGTAATATTCAGAGGTGGTTTGTGATCGTTTCTCTTTGTAACATGTAGAGCCAGAGATGTTTCATGTGATACTGGAGAGACATCTTCAAATGTGACCTCAGGCTTCCTTTAGTAGGAAGTCATGAAAAAGGACCTTTAAAGGAACAGTTGGACTTTTTGAGAAATACACTTTCCGGTATTCCCCAGCAGCCAGTTAGCTTAGCATAGAAACAGGAAATGTTATAATTATGTATTAGTAAAGCATCAGTTTGCATGTGAGCTGCACTCTGTGCATGAAAGGATAAAGGTAACTACAGTTCCCACAATGCTTTGCAGGATGCAAGCAGAAGGTATAATGTTGCCAGATTTTCAGTAAATTATCAGTGGGCTCCATCTTGAGCCTCTATACTGCAAACATTTTGGCAAATTTTTCTAGGATTTCCAAGCAGATTTATGGACATTTATCGACAAAACTTTAAGATTTTCAAATTAGAAAAGTGTCTTTGTATCATGCTTGAGAGTTTACGACTTAGAAAAGAAGATTTTTGACACACATTGCATCACTTTCATTGGGACAGACAATGAAATTAAATTTCAAATTCCGTGGTGAGACGGTGCATGATTCAGCGAGTGCACGGTTTACTAACGTGCTGCTGACTCAGTGACAGAGAGACCCGACCCTCATGAACCCTCTGAGCTCTCTCTGATCTTCTCTTCAAGAGTGATAAAAATAATCCTGTGTGCAGTGACCCGCAGTGACCCGGTGAGGCCGGGTGGAGAGACACCACCAACCCGTGAGGCCGACAGAGAAAGTATGTGTTTTCATACACACAACTGTTCAAAAGGTTGGAATCTCCTGCCACGAGAGCTTGATCACAGTCAGATGGCTGACAAGCTGACAAGCTGACATTAACTGGCTTTGTTGGTTTAGCAAAACTATGAATCAAACTTCACAATAGAAATAAGAAGGTTAGTGCAGGGTTAGCAACATTGGAATAAATCATAGTTTAAACGCATCCAATCTAACCAGAGTAGACTGCAGAGGGCCCAGAGAAAAACAGACTCACTCAACATGTATTATTCCTATAATATGCTAAAATAAATGAATAAATAAATATATTTAGTGCCAAATTGCACCGTTGTGGTTCATTAATAACAAAGGCTCACTTGTGCTTTTCTAAAAAAACGAATTCAAAATCAAAGTTCAAAGTATTCTCTCCGGTCGTCGTGAAACACTGTGGACACAACTAAACTAAATGTACGTCTGAATCAGTCAATTCTTCTTTTTTTGGGGCCCAAACTATTTCAAATGTAAGTAACAAACACACACATTGAGTGTGTGTTTGTATAAACGGCTTCATGTGAATATATTCAAGAGGACGTGACGAGATGCTATCGTTAATGCAGCAGCAGTAAATCTGACATTTGATTGCTGCCACCCATTTTCTTCTTCAGAACGAATGAAATTGTCTCTTGTGATCCACATGGAACATGGTGGTTTTAAAGGACTGTCATGTAACCACGTCCCCGTCTTTACTTCATGTTTTTATGTTTGTATGTTTCTGGCAGAGTTTCCTGGAACAATGAGCGGCAGCGGACACGAGGATGTTTTGTCTACAGTAGAAGAAGAAACACATGCTGAGGTGTCCGTCTCTGTCAGCTTTTGCTTCTTTTTCTGAAACATGAAAAATGATCAAACCACTCATTGTGCATAAACAGACATGAGCATGTTTGAGAACACCCACACATTTGCCTAAATTTGGCAAATTATGGCCAAATAAACCAAATCTGTTGCTACTAACGCAGTTGGAGGTTTACATCTGTCCCTCACAATCAACACAGGACAAAACTAAATGATGAATTAAATGAAATTGGCAGATTTAATAGTTTTAGTATTCCTTAAATGTGTAACTGTTTCCCTTCTTTGACGTAAAACATATTGAGGTTTTCATTCCTGGTTGTTTCAGGCACTCTTTAAATAAACTCCAGTTTGCTGGATGTGTATTTACAAGTTTGTGTGTGTGTGTGTGTTTAAATGAATCCTCATACAAACGGAACAGACTGATGTTTGGATTTGTGGGAAGAAGAAACCATTGAGGGAGTCCTCTCCTGCAGCCTGACCGACGAGCCCATCAATCATGGCACAGAGATCATTACAGACTCTTGCTGACAGCGGCTCATAATTAAAACCTCTTTTAAGGTGGTAATAGTGTCCGCTGAGCTGCCATAATGGAGGGAGCGCCCACACCAGGTTACAGGATAAAAATACATCCTGGCTTGTATTATATGATAAACACTTTACTGAAGTAAAGGATCTCAATCCTTCTGCCACCACTTGTTGATGTTTCTGGCTTCGAGGATAATTTTTCCATCAGGTCTGCCGATCTGATCTTCAGATACCCTCCCGAAGCTTGGCAGACTTTTAACAAATAAAAACAGTCATGGTGGTCTTTTCTCTGGGGTTCTCAGTGCACCAATGAAGTCTGTAAAAGTTCAAAAGATATTAAATCAAAGACAACATCCCTCCCTTCGTCAGGCTGCCGTCCAGTCTGCTCGGTCCAAGCCTCCCTGTCGCATCGAGCCGCTCAGCCAGATCAAAGCTCGTCAATCAACCCGGGAGACGGTCATAATAGTGAGGGACAAGCGTACGTCAAGACAGGGAAACACAGCAATAAATCCAAACAGGCCGGACGAGTCGAGGTGCAGGAATAGACGGATGAATCATCAAAATATCTTCCTTTTCTGCAATATTTCTGTTTTATATCCGTGGAAATGTTACCAGCATGACAATGATTCAAACAAAGCCCTTTGAGGTAAATGAAACAATCAGAACTTAAATCAGAAACTTTCTTATGAATCAATTAATTGTTTGTTTTTTAGCAAAACACCAAAATGATAGTCTTCTTAGATGAATATCTTCTGGTTTCTTTATTCTGATACTTTTTAAACTTAATATATTTGATGGCTGGACCATTTTTTGGACAAAACAAGACATCTGAACACTTCACATTGGACTCTGGGAAGCTTTGGACATTTGTTTTTACTACTTTCTAACCCAAATCGTCAGAGGTTGGATCCTCAACAGATCTTGGTACCATATACTGAAACCAGCAAGAACGATTCAAGTCTCAACACACACTTGTTCCAGTTGGTCTATCAGCAGACAGAGTGTGTCTAACTGTTCTCCGTGTCACTGACTTATTTGGGGAAGAATGGAGGTTGTTCTTCGGTCACACTGAGGGTTAAGTATATTTTGGGGACTGTTAAGGGTGTGGCAGTGCATACAGAGGACTCTGTGGTCTCAAATGCACCTCCACTTCTTATATACAGAAGGAATTGTTCGAGCCACTCTTCAACAATCAATACAAGTAATAGCAGGGTTTCAAACTGCCTTCTAGAAGTGCACGACCCTCTTCTGTAAGATACAAACACACCCACACCCACACACACACACACACACGCACACAGAAAGTAAACTAAATCTTTTGCAACCAAACTTCACCAACTGTTTAGGTCTCCGCTGTCCACAATCACCCAAAAGGACAAGGCACTTCATTAAGTTTTAGACATAAACAACAAAAAAGGAGAATTTGGGCAAAACTTAACCCGGAGAAAGAGGCGCTTCTGTCACCAACTCACCTTCTGGCAGAACGCAGAGAAGGTTTCGGCGAACGTTTAGTTCCCGTAAAGCTTTGAGTCTACTGATGTGGCGAGGAAGAGCCGTGATCTCGTTGCAGCTGATGTCCTGCAGAAAAACATAAAACACAACTCATGACAAACTTTATCATTCACAGAAATATGTTGGTAGATTTTAAGTCCTACTGACTGATGTTGAGAGCCGTGTGGAGGCAATAGACCTCCGAGTATTGAATTAAGCACTTTTAATACAATCGCACACTCAATATACAGAGAGAGTACAAAGAGTCTCACCAGCTCCATGAGGCCGTGCAGCTGTCCGATGGTCTCTGGCAGGCTGACCAGCTTGTTGTTGCTGGCGTTGAGGACTCTCAGAGGTAAACCGCACAGACAGGCCGGCAGAAAACCCAGCTGGTTACGACTGCAACACAAACATCACCATCATGTGACTTCATTTAGAGCACACTCTTCAACAAACTATTTAAAAAAAACACTTATTTTTAGCAAAACTAACCATCAAGGTAAGCGTGGCACTTTTACATGAGCGTTTTTAAACTGTCAGTGTTCTTTTTGAAGAAACAAATAAACAATTCAGCAAAACAGCAAATTCTAACGGCAACTAAAAACCGACTGTTTCAAAGACAAAAGGAAGAAAATGAATGAGAAAGCAGAACCCGTACATATGAATATTTTAACACCAAATCCTTCAACGCTGCATTAAAAATGAAATGAAGAGACGTGAGCCGTGAACGCATTATGAAATGAACGTGTTCTATAATGTGATTTCACATTCACTGCTGTTTGTTTGGTAACACAGAGACAACAGAAAGCCTCACGGGGGAAAATATAAATATTAACTCACATCAACAACACTTTTGCTCCACGTTTGTACGTGTGTGCGTGTGTGTGTGCGTGCAAATATGCAGACAGACATACTTATGATACAACCGGGTATCAGATGGTCTAAATCTCAGAACTTTAAAGATATGTTGTTTAGAATACGAATTTAAAACTGGTGTTAGTAGCATGTAGCGCTGCAGTGACACAGAGCCGGGTGAAAGTCTTCCCTTGAGTGACGTAGACCCTCAGTCGCATCGTATTTGAAATGAAAACAAAAGTCAACATCCAGATATCGAAACCCGTTTCTTTCTACGTCTCCATATTGCTTAGTGAGCTACTACGATCCACAGACGGTGAATTGCAGTTTAATATGACCGGTGTGGCTAGCTGCTCGCCCAAAGGCTCATTTGATGGGTTTGATTGTATCTCCAAATTCTACCTGAGAGCAGGATGAGGCCTCGACCATTTAAAACCATTCGACAGAAGAAGAAAATAAGGATTTCATGAGATTTTTGACACAAGGACACGGGATTAAAACTGTGAAAATGTGTTTTTCATTTCATACTGTGTCGTCTGAACCCGGCTTTAGACGACAATCAGACTCTCACTCACCTGACAGCTGTCGTACTGAGAGCAAACAAACAAAGGACACAGAATGAATCTAACTTCATGAAAAATAAAATTGCCTGCACCAGACTTGATCCCGATCCTGCTGACGGGCTCAGGATGTAGGACTATTTTTAGGCCAAATTCTTACTTTGATGTTACAAAGGAAGGTCTGATGGAAGGCAGAAGATTTCTGTTTATTTTTGTAACGACGACAGGAACACGGATCACTTTCAGCACTAATGCTGCAACTATGCACGGTAGAGAAAATAGACTTTTACTTCTACTGTACGTCTACTGTATTTTATCACAGATTGTCACATGTCTGCATCTGGAGGGCTAAACTAAAGTTAACCTTCCTTCCGTGGACTCATCCTCTCGGCTGCATATAAACAGCTCTCGCCTGACGCTTCCTCTACAAGCCACACACTTCTGCTTTGAGTGAAGTTTCAGCTTCAAATTGCACTTGTAAGAGGAAGGTGTGAAACGCCAGAAACATCCAAAAACAACAAGAAACCCTGATAATAACAACAACAAGGGGCGTCATCACTTTTCCTTCAGGAGGCTGTTTGATAGGTCAGAGCGTGATGCATCCACCTCCGGTTTCTTTGTTGGATTCCTGTTGTAGTTCAGCAAAACACACTTTTAAAGCAGCTTGGTGTTAACGTCACTGAAAACTTGATAATAAATTAATATCATTTTACTCAACTATGTCCAAAATAACTCCTCTTGAAATAGTGTCTCTTTTTTCCACTTAAAGGCACTTTGGGCGTTCTGTATAATAAATCTCACTGAGAAAAGCAAACGGCGTCTTTATTCTCTGACCAATAAAAGAGAAACACGAGCACACATTATACACATTAACACATACACACACACTCACACATTCATCACAAGACTGTGAAACCCCCTCTGACTCAGCTCTGAAAATAACATTCAGGAAACATATAAGTGACTTTGTGCAGCTGTTCACACACATTTTAGGAGGCAATGGAGAAAATAACAAGACTTAAGAGTCGACAGTCTGCCAGCAGCTCTGTGAGGCCGTACAGCTGAGCTGTGAGTTTAATGCTAATACGTTAATAATGACAACGCTAACATGCTAATGTTTAGCAGGTATAATGTTTACCGTGTTCAACATCTTATTTTAGTGTGTTAGCATGCTGGTCAGCAGTAAACAGAAAGTACAGCTGAGGCTGATGTCAGTAGTTCAGCAGATATCTGGTCATAAACCAAAGTATTATAGTACCAAATGTTGATCTGATGATGGCGCTGGATGAAATGTTAGAGGATCACCAAAATTATTACAGTTCATCCTGAGGGAGATGAATGTGTGAACCACATTTCATCACAAATGTGACCAGCCCTTCTTTCTGTGGCGAGATATAAAGACTCTCTCACTACAGTGGTTATGAATATTAGACATCACACACACACACACACACACACACACACACACAGAGACACACAAGTGTTTCACGCCTGCTGGTTGTTCTCACACCAGATCATTTAAAAACCTAATTAAATTAATCATTCATTAAATTACTAATTTACTCAGTGATAGCAGCATGACTGGAAAGAGTGTGTGTGCGTGTTGATTGAGTGTGTGTGTGTGTCATTTTTAACATCTTTTCTTAAAGATCTATATTTTCAATCTTTCGTATATATTTTGGAGTTATCCAACCTTGTCACCTCTTACACTTGCTATTTATATTTAAATGTTTATTATTTTCGTGATGTTTTTATTGTGTAGTTTTCATACGTTTTAACATTTGTTTCTAATTCTGTTTAGTAAAACACTTCAGGCTTTACTAGGCATCATTTGCACGAAAGGTGCGATACAATCTATCTTTATTATCATAATTAATATTAATATTCCTGATATCTATCTTTGGTTACTTGAGTCGATATTCATTTAGTTTTATCTTTAGAGCTGCAGCTAATTATTATCGTATCAAGTATTTCCTAGATTAGATTTCCAATAAACCAATTAAACCAACCAGTGAACCATTCAGCCTAAAGAATGTGGAGAAAACACATTATCATTTCCCTTTGTGATGCCCTCAAACATGTATTAATCCAAAACCCAAAGATATTCATGTAACAATAATATATGATTGCGAAAAGCAGAAAATCTTCACATCAGAGAAGCTCAAACTATGTAAATATGACTGCAATTTAGGATTATTTTTTTATCGATTATTTTCTAGATTAATAGTTTGGTCAATAAAGTGTGAAATGTCAATCATTAATTCCTAAAGTTCAAGGAGAAGTCTTTGAATGTCTCCAAACAACCCAAAACTCAGTTTAAACACAGATGAGCAGAAGGAACCAGAGAATGTTGATTAATCGATTCATCATTTCAACTCTATATGTAAACATTAGGATAAATAGTAAATGCATGAGATTATCAGATCAAAGCTCAAAGAAAAATATAACCAGAAGTCAAATAGATGTTTTATGTTGTGATTGAATTTAAGGAGCAGTGAGAGTCTCACAGAGATGACAGCGTGGGGACAGCAGCACCTTGACCTTTAAACACAATCTGAGAGAGTGCAGCACAGTGTGTGTGTGTGTGTGTGTGTGTGTGAAAGAGAGAGACTTTTTAATTTAACTAACAGTCCACTGAACACCAGTTTTGTGTGTGGACACAGTTCCCCCTTCAGCATCGATGGTACAACAGACACACACACGCAGACACACACACCTGCAGTGAGTCACCTAGTTGAAACAGTGAAAGCGTTGTGACAGTAAGCCGGCAGACAAAACACAGTCTGCTGACATTAAAAGGACAATAACACGCGCTCCGGTGGTGTGCTCAGATAGCAGCCACACACACACACACACACACACACACACACACACACACACACACAC